CATAGGTAACAAATGTTACTAATCTAATTGTAGAATTTCATTAGATCAACGGTTATTTTCTTTCCTGTTGTGCAACGAGAAAAACGATCGTAAACCGGCCTTTAACAACGACCGATTTGCAGCGGACAAGACGACGCTTTTGCCAGTTGTTCGAAGGAAGAATTCGTGTCGTGAGTCGTAGAGAGCGAGCAGCCAACGCTGATGACTGTTTATATCCGAGGAAAGCAACCGAGATTTACCCCTGTATTTGTACGTATTAGCCTCGCTTTCGCAATTTATCGATGGCCAGTTTCTCCGTCATCGGTTTCTACGGAACCAAATCTAGGTCTTGGTGTGACGGGAGAGACAACAGTGGCTCAAAATCGATGGATGGCTGTTATGACACGCGCGTTTCCTTCGCGAACGATGATGTAGTCTCAGGGTGGTGTTTCGTTCGTGCTGACTTTCGTTTCGTTATGTCTTCTTATGTTAATGAGAATCTATAATAAGAATGCTTTCGATGGTGGACGTGTATAAAGTGTAGAGATCGATTATTAATTACCGTGAAGTTGTGCAAATTTATGGGAATATTGCGGTGCGATGTAATTGGACGTTTTGCTGAAAATGGGAGCCTAGCTTTTTCAGTGGTTTTTAATTACCTTCCTCTTTCACAAGGAAAAACTGTGTAGCTGTATCATAAAAAATGTTCTAGAATGTAAATTTCTGTTGCGAGTGGCTTTCGTAAAGCGGTAATTATAAAATTGCAGAGGCGCATAGGTTTTAAGCGTGAAAAATGTTCTCTGTCACGTGGATTTTATGTATCTTTAGAAATTTCATGGTTCGAACGCTTCGGTAATTATTCTTATTCAACTGGCGCTAAGTTTATCAGTTTTGCTAATGATGTATAATAGAACTACACTTCGTATTATTGCAGTAGCGATTTAAGGAATTTCGTTGCGGCTAGAGTGAAAATTTTATCCCACCTACTTACTGAACTGATCTACATGAAAAATCTTTCTTAAATATTTTACACGTGTTTAAAAGAAATTGAAGAAAATTATGCAGAAAGTTCATATTCTTATATTATTTGGTAGAAAGTCACTGGTAGTATTTTATAATCGTGGAATAGAAAACAAGAAGTTTCACTCTTATGGTAACATGCTTCCATGATTTATAGTTATGATTATATGTTCGGTTCGCTAAAGATGCAATAGATGATTAATCTCGAAAATCAGTTCACACGGGATAGCGATCTTTGAAGTTTTAACGAGGTTTATATAATCCCTTAAAGTAGGAATTAAAGCACAAAATGAGTAAAAGTTTAGAATATATGTGTTCCTTCGCGTGATCCATAATAATATTGTACGTATACATATATGGTGCTATCGATTTGACGATGATAAAGAATTAAATTTCCCAGAAGCTGAGTAAAAAGAGTGCATGAAATATTTATAACTTGTAACAGCCAGCTTATTTCGATCGCGCACGTCTACTGTTATTTATGATCGGCCAAACTGAGTAAAACGAAAGTGAAAAGCGTATCGATAGGTTTTCACCGTAGAAATCAATCTATTAAACAATAGCGATACTGTAGCTACATTGAAGACAAAAAGCATGGATAGTATATCGTGATCTAAAGTGAATCTGACATTTAAACGATTTGACGTCCTATATTTTAAAAATCGCTTCACAGAAATCTGTACCATGCTATATACTATTTAGTTGCAATTAAGAATCGAATTCTCATAAAATATTAGCATAGTAGGAGTATATTAAATATAGCAGGCACTCATAAAATACTAGATTTGGCAAGCAAATAAATACGAATATTTTGTTCGTAGAATTCGCCTAAAACATATACTTCTTAGTTCTAAATTAGTATTATTATGTATAAAATTAGGTGTTCGTAAAACTAATGATATTCAAAGTACAAACACAAAGTGATTTTATTTAGATTCTCCAAGATGCTTGTACGCAACGGTTTACTTTATAATAATTGTTAGTTCATAACTGTGTGCTTTGTTCCATTTGCTTGTATTATTGTTGGTGAAGTGGTACTTAAAGATACTGATTAGATTCACGACAATGAGATTAAATAGTAGTTTAGTAACGAAAAAATTTGTAAAATGACAGGTTCGACGCTAAATTGGTGAAAGTAGCTATAATAAAACTCGGCAGTCTGGCAGACAGCTGATCTTGGATCAGTTAGTCTCTTGTTTTCTTTAATACTGTTTCTAACAACTTCACGTAAGTTGGAAGTGTGTGAAAAAATTAGTGTTCCGTTTTTGGTAATAAAATAACCTTGTAAACAAATTAATCACAAATCTGGAAATTCTAGTAGGAGTAGTTCAAGTTACATGTTAAGTATTTAGAATGCAACAGCATATTCTAATAGCCTATAATTGTAATACATAGAATTTAGTCAGTAAACAATAAATAAATTTGTCTATAATTAATCAGTTTACGCATAATAAGATCATCTATAAGTATTTAAATAAGTATACGATACTAACATTTTTCCCAACGCAAAAGTAATCGTATATGAAGACCGAATACCAGAAATGAATTTCAAGCAATAATATTTCTTCTCGTTCGAAGAAACGTTACGGAGAAAAGAAGGTGAAATTGGAAAGTGTTTTACACTGATTTTTCGTACAATTAATTGTTCGATCGCACGGAAGAGGTTCACGATTGGAAACCAGAGTTGATGGAAGTTCTCACAGGAACGAAGAAAGAAGGAACTCTTCTCTTCCTATATAAGAAAAGCGCTTTCCTTAATTACAATTAATTTTCTATAAATAGTAACGCACGAATGAAAGAAACTTTACAATCTTGTAATATTATCTTTGCTCTGTGTACACGACGTTCTGTCATATTAGATAGAAAAAGAATGACTAATGAATGATTAAAGTCATCTGTAAAAGGTGAAGCGAATATAATCATCATTTTTCTTTCCTTCGTGTCATAGAAATATTAATGAAGTTTTTTGATTTCGAAGGATAGCATGTTTCAACCTATTTAGAGTTGCGAATTCTTTTCAATTGAGTTCATAACTACGTGAAATGACGAGTGATAATAACGCAAGAAACAGTCAGGTATAATGAGGGTAATTTCATGAAGTACCTAGGTGAAATTGAAATAGGTGTGAAAAGCGAGGTTTCCTTTGAAGAAAAAATAACCTGCATGTATCACGTGTAAATACATAAGTACGAGGAACATGTACTTGTTCCTACGAGGTCTTTAATTTATTATTGTTTCGCCAAAGTATATTGTAACATAGATTATTCTCCGGTACATGACTGTCTGCAACCACTGTGAGAAAAGTTCAGGCATTTTTCATTCTATAAAAATTCTATGAATCTTAATTATTCTGTGAACCGAGAAAGTATAATATGATAATGATAGAAAACCCAATACGTAATTTATAATTCAGGAATATCAAATAATCGATTTAACGATATTCAAACGAATCACTTTTAGTCAACATGTTTATATTTATATTTAAAGAAACAGAATTACTGAGTAATAATTTTCCCAAAATTTGTGAAATTAAAGAAGATATGTAATAAAACGGAATGTAAAGAAAATAAAGTAAAAGGTTAAAACAAAGTAATTAAAAGCGATGTTACAAATAATACATAGCAATTTCTCAACAAAATCGTACGTTCACGTGGTAATATATCCATCGGCAATGATCAGTTTCGTATCAGATTGCAATTAGTCTTCTTCCTTTCAGTACACGCCAATTTTGAGAAGAGTAATCGTAATATCGCAATCACTTGTTCTCTAATGCATTGATCACTCAACGGTACTCCTTACATGGGGGCGAAAGTCTGTCGAAAGTATTCGAAGCACATTCTGTTGCGTAACTTTTGACAGAAACTAACACTACAAATTTAGAGCAAACACGACGGCGGCATTGAAATCAGTGGCCAACGTAACAGCATCAAAGGTTACGTTGTCAGAATGTGACTAAACTAATTATTTTTCAAAATACACACACGTAGCACACACTTGATTGTGATTTCTTCTACTATTTCTAGAGACCTTGAAATTTTTCACTGTTAGTTGTACTATGATAATCACAAATACAAAAATTGTTAAAAATTATATACGAGAAAATTCATTATATTTGCACACTACACAAAACGATTATAATTGTTAAAAATCAAATACATGAACAGATTCTGAAGCAAACAAAATCATCTATCTATCAAAACAATTAAAAAATTACGATTATACACCTTTTATACGAATGTAAAAGATATCAGCTTCTAGATCTCTACATGGATTAGATAGAAACGATCATTAACTATCTAAAAGAGACCTTTTTTGCAGAATCTAATTGACAGAACAAATTGACAAAAGCCAATTAAACCAAAACCGCCCGTAATGACTCAGAAGTTGGTGTAACGTGAAACTCTAAAAGAAAACTCCATCTAAACAATTGTATCTCTTGAATATTATCTTCAGAACAAGTTATGTTAACCGCATTCTTCAGGATAAGAATACATCCCTTTTAACCGATCTATACACATCCTTTCAAATGATAAATTGGAAAGTAGCTAATTTTATTATATTATGCAACATTCACGCCACTGTTCACTCTACCTAATATTCCTTAGAGTTGGTTGGTAGCCATTTATCGAGAAATAGCTAATGATACGAAGCTTCAATGAACACATTCAATGCAGATCTCAGGTCAAAGAAGAAAATGAGATTATTTTAAGACGTATCAGGAAGAAGTCTAGTCATACGCAAGTTAAATACAAACAATTTCATTCATATCCTACGTTTGTTTCACCGTAAGAAAAGACCAACTAGTTACCTTGATCAACGCGCAAGGTATGTACCAGCAATGTGTCACACGCCCAGTTGATCAAGTCGATGTACACTGTCAATGAAACACCACTGGGACACGTATCGAGCCAGTACATCGGAGGCAACCCCGTGTCAAAGCTCGCGGTAGTAAGAGATGAAGAGATAGCAGAGAAACTATGTAAGTCGTTGTATGTACATACCAAAGATATAATCCTCATGGTGCACGCGTCGCAAACGAGGAGGGTACAAGTAGTCGAGGAACGATCCTACGAGAGTTTCACTGAGAGAGTGCAGTCGTATAGTACGGAGCTCGGTCCTTTATAACCTATACGAACGGTTTTGCTTATAGTGGGGGCTTGCACGGCTAGTAACCGCGTCCTCTTGGACAACGGCGTGAAACAGCCGCAAATTAGATTCTCCAGAGGCCGGGCGACGGCATGGCCATTGCCAAACCACAACGCCACGGGGCCTGACATTGCCAAATTGTATGGGAGTACGTGAACGTAACGTTGCATTATGTGAACGTGCGTGGACACGCGCGGGCGCGAAACGCGTCCGCCTCAGCAAAATATAGGTCGTGCGAGCAAGTCGCGCCGATCGAGAAGAGTGTTTTATAAACGCGAATCGATAATGATCTTCTGTGTTTGCCGGGATGTATGCTTTCATGTAGGCCGCTTTTTCAGTTCTAGCTAAGCCGGCGATTTTTTGTAAAAGCTACAGCACTTGGGTGACAAGACGATTAATAGCGTAACGTTATCTTGTTAAGCTTATATTATTTGCAAATAATATGCTTATCCTGTGTTAGTAATTACATGTTTTTAATGATTAGGCGCATCTAAGTAAATATCTCGTTGCGTAAGTATTACACACAATTAAAGTATTAATAAAAGTCCTGATTGATAAGAAATCTAACAAGCAAGTTTTAAAATGTACACTTTGGTTACAATTTAATTATCGGCTATATGAGAAATTATTGAAACATGAGTAATAGTATCTGATTAATTAAAAGAAATAAATTGTGTTCTAATAACATTTCTCATAATTCGAGCAAATTTCTGTTTTGCATATATCCTAAGAATATGTCGTGTTTTCTAATAGTTCTTATACTTTTAAAATCAGAATGTATCAATATTGATAATATAATTTTAATATCAAATTATTTCTTATTTTATAATATATATATTTCTAAGAAATTCTGGCATATTACGAAACTTATGTCACAAATCGCTTGAAATGCTACACGCATTTATCATCCTAACGCAATTGACCGAATTATATATATATACTCAGTGCAATTATAAAATCATTTTCGGATAGTATAGCAAACTGTTAACCATATATTTGTTAGAAAAAGGGAAGTTGCGCGTTCGACAGCTTCCAAATGTTAATTAATTTTATTTTAATCGCGACGGATGCTCTCCTCGCATAAATAGCTATAATGTATTTATCCAAAGAAAGCGCCGAGGAATATCTATCGCGTGGTACGATCATTGGCAAAATCTAAAACGCCTTTAAATTGCTGCATCTTAATTTGGGAGAGTCGTTGTAATTGATGTTCCTATTCCTCGCGCCGCATGCGGAACACGTGCGCCGTTTGAAGCATTCAGAGATCTGCCCGTACTTTCGCTCATATTATGGACGAAATAATGTGAGAATTATTAGTCTATCAATTTGGCGAATTTATGCGCGATTTTGAAAAGTAGAGCATATTTCGAAAGCTATTTGATATTGAATTGCTTTTAAATGAACAGGTGCGAGGAACGGTATTTTAAATTTTAATTCTAGTGAATTTAAATGGATTTTAGAAGTTCAAAGCAGATATTATGGACGAAATACCGGTAGAATTATTAAAATTAGAGTATATTTTGAATATTATTTGAAGATTAACGATAAATTATTTTTGAGTGTGCAAGATCGACGTTACATCGTATTCGAGTTGATGTGAAAAATTACAGTTTAATTTTAATGCCGATGAGGCAATGTCTCCGTGATATGCAGGACGATAGTATGTATGTATATCGTTTCTGATTATAAATGGAGTTACATAGGAAGCGATATTTTCTGCTTATAAACTCTTTAATGCCGCGTTTATGATCTTTGTGATGTGTAACAATTAAAGGAAGTAGTAATTAAAATTGATAATTAAAGGAACTCAAATGTTATTTTAGGCTATTAGGGTTGATAAAAATCTACAGAAAATTTATAGAGAAAAATTATCGTAATTGCCAGCATGTATGTATGTCTAAATTCCAGAGAAATTATAATAACCATGATGAATCAAAATAGGTTTTTACTTTCAGAAAATAGGAAAGGAACTATTGAAATCATATTAAATATTCTATTAATGTAGAAAGTAAATGAAACACTTGTGAGCTTCGTGACGATGTTACTGCGATGTTTAATGTAGAACGTGGTAAAGAGGAATGAAATCAATAAACGGGAGCAATCTGCTTTATCGGTTATGATTTATAACTGATCCAGAGCCGGTTTCTTGGAAGAAAATGCACTTACCTACTTTCATTACCGGGATCACTCGACGATCGAGCTCGCTTTCTGTATCATCAATGGAAACATCAGGCGAATGAATGCACAGAAGGAAGGCTTGTTTACGTCGTCCTTCGCAACAGGATTGCAATTTACCATTCAAACAAGACTCGTCTCTAGTCGGGTTCATTACCAATGTTACTATAACTTGTATGTACTTCATAGAGTGGTTTGTACAACTGGAATTGCATAGTTACCGTAGCTATGTATTACTTGATTATTTTATCAGATATAGTTATTGAAAAGGAATGTGAAATTTATTTTAATTCATGTTGTAATTTACCTGTGTTGTAGCCTTTAGAAAGAGGCAGTTAAAATTTAAGTGAAATATAAGAGTTACGTTTTGTTAGAAAAGCAGTATCCAAAAATTATGAAATATGTGAGGACAAAGATATTTGCCCAGAGATAAGGAGAAACCTCTTTTTTGTTGAATTTAAATCTATTTGATATTATAAGTTTAAGCAATACATTTTATTATATAATGTGGTATTATTTTTATTTCATTCAGAGGATACAGTTATAGAGATCTAATAATTAAAACAATCTTGATGTCTAATCATATAATCTATTATCTATATCATTATGCGATAAAGTATTTATGAAGAAATTTCTCCTTTATTTTAGCTTTCATTGGTGAAAAAGATAAAGGAAATTTTACCAATGAATCGCTTTATAGTAGATGATCAGTGTTTAATTTCTCGGATCAAATAGTTTTTCTTAATGTTTGAGAAAGTGAATATACTTAATTCGTTATAAGCTGCATTTTCATTTGGTCTACAATTTGATAAACATACGTTAAATGTTTAATGTTTGAGTAATTACTCCGACTAATTAATACTCAGATACTAGTAAGTATTACAGCTTCAAACAACTAAGAATTTAATATCCTGTTATTCATAAACGCTCATGTATTCTTCATTTCCATTTATAAAGTAAATTTTTTTAAGTAATAGTGGATACTTAAAGTGAATAAGAATCGAGTATAAGACTTATGTCAATTTTCTGACATTATTAGCGAAGTTTATGAAATTAGTAAAAACAAAATTAATATCGCCTCTTATCCATTTTCACACATATTATTTTAATCATCTCGTCATATTATACACACGAACATATATACGATTATGATCTATATGTACATAGCAATATTTTCTTACATGACGATAAACCGATTTAGCAGTTACTCAGCTGACCGTCTTAGAACTTTCCAAGGGGAAAGTTCTTTTCACGAGACTGTTTTCGCGTTCACAGTTGTAAGAGTCGATTTACAATTTCATACGATATCTTTGTTTCCTTATCTTTGTTTCTTCCAGCATTATATAAAAATTCCAAACGTTGTTTTTGATGTATGCAATTATTCTTAAAAAGTACAGTAGTTTTGTTAATTACTGAACGCTAAAAACTGTAGGTACGTTAATCCTTATCTGAAATTTCTCTCGTATCGAAATCGTATATTTTCTTTTGGCACTAATTATATCAATGACTCATTAAATTGATTTAAAAGGAAACAATTAGAAACGTGGTATCTTTTATGTTAATTCTATTTTAATATAGATATAATTACAATGGAAAATTATACAAGAAGACTGAATGAACATTTATAATCAATATAGCGACCTACTAATTTAAATAATCAGTCATCAAATCACATAAAACGATACTTCTCATTGATAGAGCTCATCTTGTACTTCGTTTACTAAATGATCGATACGAAGAAAGTAACCAAAACCATTTAACAAAAGCACGGCACGTACAATTACTAAAAGAAGTTCCTGCTCTCTACTTGATCATTCATATACTCGCTATTGCTGTCATAGATGAATGTTTGTTAAACATGTAAGCCGCTATAGCGTGTTGTCACTTATTTATGTGAAACTCTAGTCAACGCCGGGTCACGAAAGCTTGCATCAACCAATCGACGATTTCAACGATGACGATAAATTCCGGCAAAGTAGGAGGCGGGTTCTTGTAACTATGGGCTGCAATGTTGAAACCCACGGGCACATTTTGCGTGACTCGCTTAGACGATAACGAACATCGGCCCAGCTACGTATTTCTCGTATCACCGGTCGATACAGTTTCCCTCGGTTAACGAGCCACAATGCCGTCACGTAACTTCGCCAGCCAGTCGTTCCGCGATCCTCATTCGTCATTGTCAAAATTCCAGTGCAATAGCCAGTTAAACGTTCAACAGTGGCGAGGAACGCGGAAGGAAGCTCATGCATAATATTTTTGATAATGATAGCTTTCTACAGGGCCCAAAGTCAGTGACTCGACGTGTAGGTGGGTATTATTATACACGATGATGCAAGCTACGAATCTTCATACAACGTTACACCTGTGTCGCGAACGTGATAGCTGTAACCTCGTTGCACACAGAAGAAGGTCAATGCACATGGAGTAATCCTCACCTCGAAGTGCATCATGACATGATCGTTTGGCACGTTGCCAACGCCATTGTCTGTAATTTGTCCTGTAACTCTTAACGCTATGTTCATACTAATTCTTCCTTTTGTAAACCTCTCTGACGCGTTTAATTCGATGTTATGCATTGTTTCTGCGACATGTTATTTGTAACGTTACGTATCTATTACAGGATTGTCCAAGGTGATTCGATTAGAGGAGCCAGAACAATTAAAGGAAGAATTTAAGGATGGACTGTCGTCACGATTGGTAAGTCCATATATGTAACGTATATATTGTATATACATGCACCGTCACGTAATAAATATAAGGCAGAATTATAAAATTGCTTTTTCCATATGTCACGAACATTCAATCTTCGACTTCGAACTGTATAGGAAAGAAAGTGTACAGGATACGTGTTTTTGTGATTTTAGAGATATACATTCCTGTTTTCTTGACATTGATACCTGTTACGAATATGAGATATTAGTATGCAGTATAGTATAAATCATAAAGAATAATACTCTACATATATTATGATTTCAGTAGCATATTATACATTCAATAATATTAATACTATATAATTCGTATAAATAACTTCTCAATGTCTGTGATATGAACCTACTAATAAATAGCAATACTTGCTAAAATTTAAAATAAATAAAATCAATCGATTAATCCTATTATTATCATCTTCTTGAGTATAATCGTTACAGAAAATTGGAAAGGAAACACAAGTTTCCTTCTCTTTTTTTAAAAAAAAGTACGAATGTAAAATTTGAAACTATGTAGCTTCTAAAAATATGTCAGACAATACGTAACACGTTAAATGTACCTTACAATGATACTTGTTGCAACAGAAATGAATATTCATGCTTCTAAAAAAATACAATGGGATCATATTTTTCTTCGAAATCTTTTGAATGGGTCGCTCTTTCATCGAGTTAAACTCCGTGAATTAATGTATACGCGTATTTCTTGAGTAGTTCAAAGAATAACCGGTGTTGAGACATCAAAGGAAATGTCGTTGTACCGTAGAAAACTAGTAAATTGCAACAAAAGGACGCGTCTGGGAACGTACGAATTTCGGTGGTAGAGATCCGACAGATAAAATAGAACTTCATATTACTTTTAAGCTTGTGCGTCTTGTGAAAAAGTAACTACAAATTCTATTCTTTGGTTTGCGCGAATTTCGTCATTTTACAATCGCGGAAAGATAGCAACGAGTCGACGCGAGTGAATACTCGCCTTGCAGAAACGTAATGCTGGTTGCCATAACTGCAGGCTGCCAGCTTGATCGTGTAGAATGATTACCAATGATCCGATGGTAACTGGAATCTTGATGAATGATAGAAATATAAATTTTTTTCCTTAATCTCATTACAGTACGTTAAATAGTGTATTTTATGTTCAAATTTGAAAAAACCAAAGAAATTGAAAAAAATTAAGTTTCAGGTATAATCTATATTCAAATTTGCTTTACTTCGTTCAAAATATTGTATATTTCTATTTTTTGTCGACGCGCAATAAAATTATTGGATTTTACATCTATCTTTGCATTAATAAGAAATTAATACAACATTTTGAAAAAATGAATGGAATTTAAATACATTGAACTGCAGTTTCTTTGAGTTTCGACCAGTTCTTGATAATAGAGTATATACGTGTTCTACACCAATTAAAAATTTTCTAAAATTATCACATGCTTACGTACGGTCAAAATATTAAAATTTTATCTATATAAATTTTGATTACGCTAGTATTTTCCCCTGGTTGTGATATTAAACACATTTTGGGAATTATTTTGGAAATTATTTATAACATTGGTAAACTTCATTTCTTGCTTCGTATTAATAAAGAAAGAAAAATATAGAAATAATACAGAAAGAAATACCTGAAAAGAAAAGTGATATAAGTTGAAAAAACTGAAAGCGTAAATTGCGTGAGTGCTGTTATTTTCTACGATTATTTTCTGCCACGATTTAAGAATTAATTCCTGGAACGAGGTAAATTTGACTTATACATCACTTTCACACTCGTTCTCACGCAATTGCTGCTCTACAAATACAATCACCAGATCCGCTTTTATTTTACTACCTGTCGTAATATATGTATATATCGTACTATGCTATTATTATGTATAGGTATAGTTCAAGCGAACCGACCGTCCTTTATGTCGAAGAAACGTGAAGGTCGATGTATAAATTTCGTAACTAAAATTCCAATTGGCGAAGTTCCGGTACAAACTTGATACAGTTCAAGCTTGCCGGTTACCTTCTCTTATTTTTATCATGGAAGGAATAATCTGAAAGGTCGTTTGTTGCGACTGGTTATGCGAGTTTGACTGATGGAGAAACAGGAACAATTAGAAAGTTGAAGGGTATAGTTTTCATTCGATCTAAGTTGGAAACGTTTATTAATATTTCTTTCGCCTCTACTATCTCCATTACAATCATTAACAAAATTAAAACGAAACATTTACCTTCAACTTGTGTAAATTATATAATGAGTCGTGGGTGAAAATACTTCGAATTTTCATTGAAGGGCGGTATATCAGAGTTACGATTATAAAAAGTGTTGAGTTGTCCTCGCGATTTATTCCAATCTAATTTACCTTATAATAATATAATTAAAATATAATATAATAGTAAGCGTGCTGAATTTTATTGTGCAGTCCCGTGAGACGCGAACTCGAAGACACAGCTTGACAAAGTGAGGGTCTCCTTGAAATGAAATTGTAACGGTACACTTATGACGCGTGTGCAAGCTGCGTTCTCTAAGACTAAAACCAGCACGGAAGCCTACCGTGGAATGTGGAATTTTTATTTACAACATTTTTACAACCTTCCTTACACACAGGGTTAATGATTTTGACAGGGTTTTACGTGAAAAGTCTATTCGCGATACGGAAATGAAAGAATCCTTGACCTTTCGAAATCTCTCCTTAGAAGATCCTGATTGGAGAAATAAAGTTTAAAAAAGAGATAAAATGATTCCATTCGATATAGGTTTCGTTACTAATAATTATTCTGAACAAATACTTAGAGATCATTCTTTACATTTCCACTGCACGTTTCATCAAACATGCTTATCACATTTGATTCCAATGGCAAGAATGGATTCGTACCTTCATCGAAAGAAACAAAAGTTCGACTCGGTAGGCAGCCATGACAACGATTTGTTTATTACCGAAGAAAAACTCAAGAACCTTCACCTTATTCTCTTATTTTACAAAAAGAAAAAAGATATCAATGAAGAAAATAGAAACAATAATCAAATTATCGATTTCGATTCAATTTCCTCGCTGCAATTGCAATGTGCCTTAAATTCTCGATATTCTCTTCGGTAATAATCGACGCGCGACGTACGAATCACAGTGCCACCCATCGTCACCGATGGGCCACGCCGCGATCACGGCGAAAAGGGTGCGCCATCGAAGCATCGCGTCTTCAGACAATACGGACAGATCAAAACGCACGGGAACCACCCTGACGAACACGGGAGGGACTAGAGGATCTAGTAATAACCGAAGCTGATGTCGTGCAACGGTGGTGCGACGCCCTGTGGCAAAGCATAATCCCTAGCTAATTGATCAAGGATGCCGCCGCTTTGGCTACGAGGTTGTGGCTGGGAACGGTGTTCTTGAACAGGAGCAGGGCCAAACTGGGCTGGTCCCTGATTATACAATTGAGATGGCGGCGCTGGTTCTTCAGGTTGAAGGAGAGTGGTTTGTTTAGTGAGGGGAGATTGAGGAGCAGCAGGCGTGAAAATTGGCGGTTTCGGAAGACTTGGCTGCTGTCTGGGCGCCAGTTGCGGTGAATAGACGGCTTCGGTGTGAGTTTGGGGCTGTTGGTAAGCTGGCTGTCCGTATTGAATCTGTTGAAGGGGTGCAGGGCGAGGTGCTGGCGCAGGCGCGACTGCTCGAAGTGGCGCAGGTCTGGCAGCCGGTTGTTGGTACTCCTCTTGGTAGTTTTGTGCTTGCAGAGCTTCCTTACTGGTAGTGTCGTCGACCAGAGTCGGTGGTGCGACCGTGATACCCTCGCCAGCGGGTTGGAAACCGTATTGATTCGCTCCATATTCGACTACACGTACTTTGCCGGTGTCATCGACGAATCCGTATTTACCCTTCACTTCTCCGGTTGGTAGTTTCGTCTCGATCTTAAAAGACCCATCCGCGCCTTCGAACCCGTACGTATACGAGCCGTCCTCGTTGTGCCTGTTGATCTGCTTCAGGATGGCCACCGGGGTTGGTTTCGGGGTTGTGGGGCCAGCCGATTGCCGATTTGGCGCCGAATTAGCGGCATAACTTCGGGGAGTCGGATGAGTCGGTCTTGGAGACTCGTATGCTGAGTATTCGTCTACGTAGTTGGCATCTGGTTGCTGGTATTGCTGAGCCGATACAACTAGTATGGCAGCTACCAGTAATAGTACCTGGAAGAAGTAAAAAGCTGTGTTTGATCGAAAGTAGTGCGAAGATGTAATTGATTGTAGAATGCAACGTTACGATATAATTCATTTTTATTCGATTATTTAATATTCCGTGGTTTTATGACAGAATACATGCGAAAGATATACACAGTGTTAGTAAATTATTGGCGTCGTCGTTCTTAATCGTGCCTTTCCAATCGATCACTCGTATCTCGTAAGTAGATCATAAAGATCATTACTGCAATTATCGAAACATCTACTACTTCCGCTATTACTTTCCGTCCTAGAATATGGTTATATTTCGCGGAAAAATGTTGTTACACAAGTATTGTAAATTGCTCCATAACACAATCGCTTTTCGTTTCAACGAATCAGTCTAACCAGCACGATATTCGATCGATAACTATGGTCTATTAAAAAAGATTCTGTAATAGAAATATTTTCCAATGTTTTTTGCTTGCAATTCGTGTTTCGCATAATTTATGATTGCATAGTCGAGATGTGTCTAGCGAGCAACGCCGATACCACCGTAAACTTAATCTTCATGCGGTCAGTATCCTGAAAAGTATTACAGAGCTGTTAATCTGAGACTTCATAAACCGTAATTGTTCGCAGAAAGGTCTAAATGCAGTGATGCATGACCCTCCGGGTTACCAGAACCTTAACCGCCAGACGTGACTTTATTACACCACCATCGAGTAGATAACCGCATTCGAAGGATACCGGATTCTTGACGTCGACTCGTTATACACGGTAAAAGTCTTGATCGCTGTTGTATCGGCGGAAGGCGAGCGCGACAAGCAATAAATGCGAGTGTTTTGCCTGTATTTATTCCTCCCCGTGGAGATGTACACGATTGGTAAATCGATCATCGTAAATTACACGCCATTCGCCGAGTTTTACCGCTTCCATCTGCGTAACGCACTTCCTGCAGTTCTGCCCGAATGGTCACGAACGAGAAACGCTTACTATCGTCACGCATACTGTTCGTATTCCTGTTCGGCGTAGCTCATTATATAATGTCTTTCTTCGAGCGAGTAGGCGACAAAAAAATATCGATACCGCCCGCGTACGCTCTCATAATTTTTCGAGTAGCGCGGAAAACGCTCGAAAGGTACTTCCGAATTATAATGTAGTAACGCGGTTGTACGTCGTTGGTGACTATTAGTTGCGTAATGGTAATTGTAACGGGTACGCGATATTTTTACGAGCGAATAACGATCTCCGTCGAATTACGCGAATTACGACCATGAGGCGACCAGATTTCTCCCGTGTTCGGAACGTCGATCACACATAAAGGTCTGGATCGAGTGATTGCTCGGAACTAACATTTATCTTTCGCTCGCCTTACGAAACCGCCGAGCAACGTGTCTGGTCTATAAGCTATCCCCTACATCTATCAAACTCTTGCCAGACGTCGCCGAATTATTCTGTCTGCTTTAACGAGTCAAGGTTTTACGAGATCCAGCCGCGGTGCACTAGTAATGCACAAATCACAAGCACAGTTCCGTCACGATGAAAAACGATCACATCACACGCGAGATTGAAATTTTTGCAGATGATAAAGCGACGAACGATAGTCACGATGATGCCGATGATTTACAATGACCGGTAGAGAGCACGCGATTTAGAAGAAACTTTGTCAAAATCTTGGCCCTCGAAGGGTTCGTTAACGAGAAACGATGACGATGGTGACGCACTAAATACGTACCGTCGCGACCGTGCGCATTGTGTTCCAGGTGGTTGGTGTGTTAGTGTGTGTGAATGTAAGTAGGCAGCGAGGCTAGAGTACCAGCGGTTGCTCGAACTGAGGCCCTCATATACCTTACTGGGGTCCCCCGTTCCTACCCCCCTCTTGCCCTCTATACTCCTGTTAGCTCTGGGGGACTTTCACTATCTATTCGACTCCTGTATATACGGCCGCCTTGTCTCGTTACAGCACCTTATATCCCCTAAATATTCCCCACCAGACTAGCCCCGGTTCTCGAGAATCTGGAAAATCGATCGCAACGTGGACCGATCAACAACTTTGACGCCACGTATATGTATTTTATATACGGCTAAATAAGGACTGCATTCCGCTGTCTCTCCATATTTTTCTGCATTTAGGAAGACTGATTAATTGAGATTTTTTTATTACTCATTATGAATTATAATGTTTGTCAAGGAAAGCAACAGCATGTAGAGGTTATGGTTTCTGATACTTTTTCGAATTGTTCTTCAGTTTGTCAAAATTGAGTATTTGATCATATACAGGGAGGAGGGAAAGCTTTCTTAACATTGTTCGCTTTATGTACCGAATGTAATATTTTTAAAGATTCTAACTAGTATTGCATAACTATATTATGTAAAATAGTGTTTATTTCATGTACTGTTTTCTTTTACTTGTTACGCTCTTGTGTTCAATATTAATTATAATTCTGTAAAATTAACGCGACTCTTCAAATTTCACTTTTGCAAGGATCTATCTGTCCGCAGTTTTCTGCCTACCATAGTAATTAATTGGAGCTTGTAATTATTTGGTGCGTCGGTGTTCATAGATAAGAAGCGGCAAGGACTGTTTAGACGTCGGGTTTTCGAGCGAGAGAATGGATCCAATTTGTCCCAGTGTCCTCTTATATTACCGTTGCAGTAACTCGTATACGGGACACGTTGCCCGGCAGGTTGTTCTGGTTTCTCGTCACTCTTGAAAATCATTCTTAAGTTCTCGATTGGACTACCGATCTAGCGTTCAACAATTTTTATTGTCTGTCTCAAACCTTTCACTGTATGCCTGATTCCTGCACGATCGGTCACCGTATGTGTCTTATTACGGCTGATATCGGTATATCTACTTCGAATTTAGTGTCTCAAACGCTCAAGGTGTTTATCGATGGTTTGTCGATGAATTAAGTTCACAATTCTACGAGAATGGAATTTTAGGAATCTGCGTATTTCGTCGCGATATAGTCACGAAATTCGGGAACTTTTTATTTTAATGGAAGTTGATATAAGAACGTAGAATGTTTGCTTGATTCTGTAAGTTTTCTGTTGTATTAGTACGATATATATCTTATAGTTAATACGCATAGAAATTTGTATTATATAATCATTTGTAGCCTTTTATTAAATATTTATCACTTAAATATTATATTTTGAAGTTGAGCAGAGGTTTTTTACTTATGAGCACTTCACATTCAACGATATTTTTGCTTTAGATTAATAAATGGTTAGTATTAATAAATATTTTAATACAGTATTTATAATGCAATTATTTTAAATTCTAGTGAACCAACTTTCTACAATTTATTATGTGTCGCTATTCACGCATGAATATATGTATTAGTTTGCGACACATTTTACGGATATCCGGTATGAATATCTTATAATGCGATTGCAGTTTCAAAGTTTGTAATCCTTCTTCCGATATGATATTAATAATAACACAAAAGTAATATTCGACACACGAAGTTGTTCAGCTGCGGGTTTCTAAGGTGAAATTATTATGTAAAAGTGGCGATGTAGATATCGAGGTCACGCTACAGAAATTATACCTATAGCTACTGAATGAAATAATTTAACGAATGCACTTTTACCATGAATACCGGTACCAAAATTTATTCATGTTTCTATATATTCTGGATTTTTCCGATACTGGGTGAAAAATATTTCACCGCGAGAAATTTGAAATTTTGTCTATGTTGGTTCGTTAACTCTCTGAGTCCTGTAATTCCAGTTACGCATGCACTATGATATTAAAATATGAATTTGCATAAATATCTGCAGCTTACTAATTATTTTATACAATATATTAAAAATTTCGTATTTGATACGGATTTTCCATAAAAAGGAATGCATAGAATGAAATTATAGTTTAACAGCTCTTTATTTAAGAGGTGCCGTTCTTTTGTATACAACTTTTTACTTACGGTTTAAGTAACTTTGATATAAAGAATATCTTAAAGTAGATTTAATTATTATTTATTTTTAAATTTCTTATTGATTTATTTGTTCTTTTAATGATATAGTATAGTTGGGTATTATATTTTAAGCACACACTACATAATTTAGAACTGTTTAAGAATGGAATAGAATAGTAGTGGTAAATATATTGTCTCTTACGTATATATACTTAGCATGTAATTCACTGAAGACAATAATTATTTATCCTTCAGCTTTCTTTAAGTGAAAAAATTTCAAAGTTCAAATGTCATTCAAGCACTACCGTTAGAAGCAGTGTTGCCTAGTCAGTTGTCGCTTTATAATGACTTACAATTAACCAATGGAAGTCTCTGGAAATTAGAAAATATATTTAAACATCGCGATTGTTAAATTAAGAGTTTTCATTCATTAACGTAATGACTTGATGTCAATTTGGAAATCTATTATTTGAGGCGTTGAAACGCAAGAGAAGCGTTAAATAATAGAGTTTAAAGCGATAATCGTATGAAAAATTTACACAAAATTCGTAGACTATATAGCGCAATACTTAATTTTTACAATACCCTAAAAATAACAGAATGTTAATCCTTTGACAGCGAATAAAATGAAAACAAGTATTAGATACAAAAAGTAGACGTTTCCAATTTTTATACGAAATAGGTATTAACAATTATGTTACGCAAGATGACATTTAAGATGTGAATTTTATGATAGGTATCTGCTACATTTGATGATTTACTGAATTACATTCAGACTACATTGTTACAGAGCTAAAATAAAATCTCACTAAAACATAGCATCTATTCTCGTAATAGTTCATTCTATTTACTATCTATTGCTTTACCGTTTTAATGGTTCCTCATTTTATGATTACTTTGATTGATGTATTAATTTTATAAATTTTTAACGATTTTCCGTAATTTATATAATCGGTTAAATGATTATGACATCGTTTTGGCTAATAGCGAATAAGAGACTGTGCTTGATCGTGGATCGTAGACTAGTTATACATTTATGGAATGAAATGAGACAGAATCAACTAGCTAGCACGCGTTTAATCCTTAATTATAGTACTGCCTGTAACGATACTTTCGATCTTGTAAGAATAATTACGCCAATGAAGTAACGTTCATATAATCAATTCGATAGCTAACATCACGTGTCAAAGCGCACGTGTTGCTTCTCCAGTAATAACGATGCGATGGTAAACTTGGTCGAGTAAAGATGTGTAGAACGTGTCTTTAACCTAGTTATCGGCTACTGAGAAATAGAGGATTTGAAGATAATAAATAATAATAATCTAATAATAAATAATAATAATATAATAATAAATAATAATAATAAATATAATAATAATAAATAATAATAAATAAAATAAATAATAATAATCTAATAATACAAAAATTGCCCATGTAAGAGAAAGAAGCATACCTTTTTTTATTATATTGTATCGTACGCGTTTGTTTTCTAAAACTTTACAAATGATACGCAAATTCACTATTATTTCTTATTTACTACGATGTTCATGTTTTATATTTTCATGAATTGATATAAAGAAATGGAACCTAATTAGATCCAATAAAAATTTCGTAAAACTGTACATAATTTACTAAATTATTTCATTACATATAGTTCTCACATTATATTGGTGCAAAAGGATCCTGGTATTTTTGGAATTCCTTGGAGTAAAAATTTTCGCGACATTGATAAGGGAAAGGGAAAAAGAGAGCATCGGTTCTGTCGGTTGTCACCTTGAAACTGACCGAACGCAAGGTCAAATCGCGATTCGGCAAGACAAAGCTCGGCTTTTAATACCGAGCTTGATACTCGTCGTTTTCACTTGACTTTTGCGAAATGCGCAACTGACCGCCTTGGTTTCCGCCGTAAAATTAGCGGTCGATCGGCGTTTTGTAACTTTCTATTGGCACGCTGCTCGTTAGATTTGCGGTTGATCGATATATTTTGTATACCTGACGACTCGCTTCCGTAATTTCTCCCGAACGTATAATTTCCAATAATTAAGTTTCTGGTGTTTAAGCCTCTCGTGAAAATTAATTTGTTTATCGTTGTTGCTAGAAAGTCGTACGAATCCTCGTTGCTAATCTAAAATGTAACGCAGACTATCGTAAGAACTAAAGGCGAGCTATTGTGAATTTTTAAAAGCAAATTCGTTTTACATTAATTGCGTGAGAATAATAACTTTTTTTCTCCATGCATTTGTTATGCATTTAAATATATAGAGGAGGTTGGAGAAATATTTTCTTATATCCGTTGCTTTTGCTTTGGCATATGTGTACTGATTAATTGGATATAGATATATCAGGTTTGTTAAAGCTTAAAAGTGTTTTAATAACACTTTGAGTAATTGAGTACACTAATGTAATTTTAATTTTAAGAACTGAGACTTCCTTAAACAAAAGATGATTCATTGAATGTGCAAGTACTTTTTGGATTCACTGTAAATGGAAAGGATGTAATGAATATGTAGACTGTATAATGATAGTTTAATGAGAGTAATCATTTTTATATAATTTCCTTTATATAGCGATTGTCGAATTTCACCTTGTTAATTTCTTCTCGCCAGTTTATGTAACGTTTTAAGTAGGTAATATGTTTTACTTTTTTTTTAATGATGCAATCTCTTTTGCGATAACTGTCATAATTTCGTTTTTTGAATAAGATGTTCAAAGAGTCTCTTCCTTTTATATTTCGTTGCGATGAATAGTTTTATGTTGTGATAAATAGAACATCTTTTCTTCTCGAATATATTGTCCACAATCAACAACAGAGCGAACGTTATAGAAATTAAACGTAGTCACATTCTTAAATTCCTCATATCATTTCGTACTATCGTCTGAAAATAATTAAGAACTCCCAATTTGGAATAAACGGACAATTTATATAGATTAACTTTCTTTTATATAAAAGCCATGAATCTTCAAT